CGGCCAGCAGGCATACAGTAGGGGGCGTGTTTATGTGAATGTCTACCAAAAATACTCCCAAATAAAATATGAAATGTCGCGTTTGCTTCGGGCTCGGGCCTGCAAATCAAGCTAAGTGATCGGGCTCGGGCCGGGTCGGGCTTTAATACCTTCGGCCCGGTCGGGTCGGGCTCGATTTTTTAGGACACATCTTATCTCTACCAAAGTTTGGCGGGCTTCCATCTCGGCCCCGACGCAGACCGCAGCAAGCGAGAAGCGAGGCTGCCTTTTGGATGACGTCCGCAAAGAATCGGCAAAATGGCACGCACGTGTAACGGAGTGACGCCAAGTTCTTAAATGATGACGGAGGGGACTCAACGGGGCGCAGTATGGCGCCATCTTCCCGCCTCAGCTCAGGCAGAGCCACGAGGGAAGTCGCGGGGTAAGTCGCGTTTCATTGACGCTCCGGATTCGTTTCTCATTTAATGACAATATTTCACTTGTTTTTCCTTTTTCTACGGTGCGGTGTATTTCATTAGTTCCCTGATTTGTCCCTTGCCCAAATTGCTTTTTGTGTTATTTAATTCAAGTTTAGTCGAATGGAAGTTTTTCCCCTTCTCCTGTTGCGCAGTTATTTGTGAGAGCGAAAAGCCCCGTCCGTGACTTCACCCGTCCCTGCCGCCATACTGTGTTGCAGGTCATGTTTGTTTGCTGTCGCTTTTGCTGTATGTGCTTGCTCGTGTCGTTTTTCGTTTGGCTGTTTGCGTTTGTTGCCGGCGCGTGTCCGCAGTTCGTCGCGGCCGCCATTGTTGCGCATTGCGCGGCCGTTCTGCGGCGGCATCGCGTGAATAGCAGCGAGTGTGCGTTTTTTTTCCCTCGTTTTCTGTAAATGGTTAATATACGATCACCCATGTTGTGTATTTTGTTTTGTCGTGCATTTTGGCTTGTTATGAATGATGCTTTGTTAGGGAGAGCTACCAGGGAAGTCAGCGGTTATTTCGGAGAGCGAAAAGCCCCGTGACTTCACCCGTCCCTCCCGCCATTCTGTGTTGTAGGATGAAAAGTAAGAAAAAGCCACACTCCGTGCGTCTGTTCTTATTGAGGCGGCAGCGACGCGGAGTTCCAGACTGTCTCAGTTGTGACCCCCCCCCCCCCCCACCCGTCACGCGTGGAAAAGAAAGAAGCCTTTTCTCATGTTTGGAATCCGTCATCCAAATCAAGTACCGCGTAGTTTCCGCTTCAACAATTGGGTAAAGAGATTTTGAACGACGACATTTCGATTTGTGGACGTGGAATTTGATTCCATTTCAAATGGCGACTTTATTCCGCTTGCACGATTGCCTTTTCACCGCTGAGCCAGCAGAGGGCGATGTCAGCCTACTCTGCGCCGCGTGACGTGCTCAGCGACAGAAAAGGGGCGCGCGCTGTTTCTCTTTCTCTCTCTCTCTGCCTGTTCAAATGTCATACACGCCGGTCGGTGTACGGCTGAAGAAAACACCTCATCATCTCATTCTTGCCCCACGCGGATAAATAAAGTTTTCTGAATCTGAATCTGAATTCTTGGGATGAGTGAAGTCAGCCTGCTCACAGACTTGTTTCGTGTTTTTTTTTTCCCCCCATCATTTTTGAAGAAGCCAAACGGTCTATTTTTCCAGGAAAGCGTCAAGTCAGAGTCAATATGATCAATGATCAATCGGGGGGAAATGAAGGCCGCTCCTTTCGTTTTGACGGAAGTGGTCAGGAGGTCCCGGACGCTCCCCCGTCCGCTGCCTTTTTCCTGGAATCGGTCTGAAATGTTTGGTCGCGGCTTGACGAAGAGAGCTCCTCCCCGAGCGCTACGTTGACATGGAGTTTTTCTCCGACGCGGCGAAAAAAACCCTTTTCCTCACCCTTAGCCCCGACGTCCCCCTCGCGTCCAATTCGCGTGCCGTTTTCCGTGCGCGTGTCCCGTCGCTGTAGCGGTGACGTCGATTGCGACTAAAATCGCTCGCCGTCTGTTCAGAATTCCGATAAGGGCGCGTATTTGTATTTTTTTTTTTTGTCTCCCGGCATTGATGGATTGACTCGGACAATCTTTTTTTTTTTCTTCTCATGGAAAGGGTCGTCGGCCTTCGCCTGACAGCCGTCTGCTTGCCTGTCCGGTGACATTTCAGAATTGCCACGTTTTGCGGGTGTGCGCTTTGGCGCGGCTTTCGAGCGTTACCCGTCGTAGTGGAACTCGGGTCGCCCGTCGTTTCGAATGCAAAAGATGACTTTGTGCCTTTTCCAAGCTGACGCCGTCCGACGAGCCGCAGAGAAGCCCTCCTCGCCGCAGAGAAGCCCTCCTCGCCGCGCTTCCGCCGAGCGGCGCCCCGGCTTCACCCTGCACGAATGGAGGTACGGTACCTGCCGCATGTCCGGTTTGTTTGGTTGTTTATTGTTTATTGAACAGAAAAACATCATATGCGGTAATAAATTGACAGAAAGTAAGGTAAGTGAAATAGTAAAAAGGAAAGAACACAATTATTATGTTCAAAGGAGTAGGGAGAAGTAAAAAAACGGATCTAGTCCTATCCCAAGTGATGTATTTCGATGTAAATAGATTATTTTTTATCAATCAGAAAAAGAAAGAAGTCCCCATAAAAGCTCATGCTTTTCCCCTTAACCGTGATATTTTTACAACTTTTGATTTGTAACGGGATTTTCTACAGACACGCCCGAGCACTTTTATGTCAATTTTCTCTTGTATTCATAATGGATATTGCGGTAGCATTCTCTATTTATCAATTCTTATTATATTTCATGAATGTTTAGAGTTTACCACCTTAACTCTGAATGATGTAGGTCGTTTGTACGATTTTCTTGAATTTGTTTTTGAACTCGGCAAGCGATTTCCTCATTTTCAGGTCCGGTTCGAAATTATTCCACAGATTAAAACCTATGACAGATACACTTCTTTGCTTGATGTTGGTTCTTGTTTTGGATTTTTTGTGTAGGTTGGTCCCTCTTAAATCATAGCAGCTTTCTCGAATTTCGAA